CATATTTAAAGTAAGATACCTTACGGACAGTCGAGTGAAGTATGCAATGTTTAGAGTTGCCAAATTTTCAGTGATTGCAGAAGAAGGAATATGCCACTGTTGAAGAAGGAATATGTTACAGCTAATGTAGCATACTGTAAAGAATTGCACAGCTTTAACATCTGATGGGGGATACTTCCATAATTCTCCCATCCTAACTTCTTCCCAAAATAATGAGTTTCAATCAAGGAGGGACAGTTCTGTTTTTTGTTTATGCTTCACAATGTCCGTGTTCGATTCCATTCTAATTCCATAATAAAGATGGCAATGAACTCTTCATGTGATATTGGTTCATTAAATTATGGATAATATTTTGCAGTTGTACAGGCACTACATCCTTTAGATGACACACAAGTTATAGGCAGTAATTATTTACAATTGGTGAGTAGAGATAGAAACATAGATAGTAACTCTATATTCAGTTATCTGGAAGTAAGCTCTTCTGATCTCAATTAGACTTCCTTATGAGTAGAAATAAAAAGGACTATCCTAATGGTTTTTATATGCAAGGATCTCCCCTAACGTGTATAGCGGAAAGAAGAGAAGTTTGAACATGATTGCATTTCTCTAGTTCCTGCAACTTGACGGACATTATAATTCACTATAATAGCTACTAATTTGATTGATTGGAGAACCTTGACCCTATTCTACCAGGAATAACTGTGTTTTTTTACATAGCGCATATGAAGCATTTTATATTTCTCCCATTTGATAGGACTTTAGGGCTTTCTTTATTATTTACTTTATTTTTAAATAAAAAAGTAAGTTCCAAAAGATGGGGCTCCAACTAGCATTGTAGTTTCATCTTTCTGGTTGTCCTATGTGCACTGGAATTGAAATACCCACTGTGAAAAGCTATGTCCAGCTGCCAGAAAACTACACAAAACATGTACTCATCTATCTGTGCCATCGTTTTTTTCTTAAAGCAAACCAAAAAGAGACCAAGATGCTTTAAAAACCTGTTTACCCAAAATTATACAGTACAGAAAATGAACTCTCCTCTAACAGAAACTGAGCTAATGCCAGTTATTTCCACTTAGACGAGAATATCAGGGGAACATTTGGGAGTCCGCTTGAGTAGAACTATGCATCAAATATATAATTGGTACATAATAAGGAGGACTCCACACACAGAGTTGTTTTGCTCGTTAGACTCGATATTCATCCTTCAAGTATCCTACGGTTTTCTATTGATTTGGATGAAAAACCTAGTACTATGTGGGGAAATTCACTTGCTTTTTTTACCTTTTCTCATTCAGTTTGATGAAAGATAATTTGCTTTCCAAATTTCTTTCACAGGAGAAGAGAACTTCAGAGAAATTATCCTGGGTAGCATGTAGTGTTCTGGAACTTATTTACATATAGGGTGACCAAAAATTATGCACGACTGTCTTATATTTCATTTTACATTCCTCTGTCCATTGCTGCTCTAGCTTCTTATGAGAGGAACTCTTTGCACTGACCTCTTCATACTGGGAAACGTGGGTAGACAAAGAGGTAAAATAGAAAACCACATTGTCAGTAGAAACCTTCTCCTCCACCAATAATGTTAGTTCAAAAACATTACCATAAAAACATTCTCAAGACTGTTGAGAAGGAGGAGGAGGAGGAAGCTTCTTTCACAGGAGAAGGACCTTTCTGAAAAACTGAAAGTCATTTTTCATCATAGCTTTAAAAAAAATGCTGAAGTGAAGCAATGTCCTTAAGTGGTCAGTTCATCCATCTGTCTCTTTTACCTGCCATGTAGTAAATCTAGACTCTTTGCCATCAAAACAAACAAAACATTAGGGGCTAAAAATTATTACTGAATGCTATCTTATGGGCAGTGGGGTGTAGCCCCATTTCTCTTAAGTGCAAAATACTTTACCTTTGCCTCAAGAACTTCTCATCTTTCCAGTGTGCACCCAAAATTCCCAGTTGTTATGGAAGGAATGCTGTTATAAGTATACTTTCAGTTCTTTAAGTTGACTTGGATGGGACAAGTCTTCACACTGAGGAAGGCTTCAGACAGAGGTCTGCCTTCCTCATAGTGGAATCCATGGCTACTAAAAATGGTTATTGATTGCAAAATCTCAAGAAATAGGAAAAAGTCAAAAGTTACATATCATTCTTAGTTGCCAATTAAACATCATGTTGTATATGATGACAGTGTTATCTAGGATGGATATGCCATATGTGTTATCCTCAGTTCAACTGGGAACCAAAAATGCTTGATTATGTGACCTCTTGGTCAGAATCTGTAATCTGATCTGCCACGTACATCCATTTTACACACATACAATGTTTTAGAGCTGTCGGAAAATGCTTCCATATGGACAAAATTGCTCAAAACGTTTCAGGAGCTTTATCAATAGCAGGTGGCAGTAATGTGATATCTTATTCTTTAAAAAAGGAAGAAAGAAAAGGATAGAAAAAATGGGCTGAGAGTCATTGCCACCCAACATCCTTTTTTCAGATTGCTTAGGAATATCCAAAAACATTTCAGGAAATAGAAAATGGCACTCATCAGATTGTATCCTCTAGTCCTGCCTTAGGCACGAAGCCAGCTGGGTGAGTTTGGGCCAATCACTTTCTGTCAACCCTAGGAAGGAAGCAAAGGCAGTTGCCAGGAGTCAAGACTGACTTGAAGATGTGTGTGTGTGTGTGTACATATGTACGTAAACTCACCTTGGTCCATAGACTCTGGGTAGAATACAACAGAGTAAAAGGTAGCAATGCAAGAGAAAACCAGTTAAAACAATATACAAAATACATGCAGAGAGAAAGAGAGAGTGAAACTGAAAAGCACTGCAAAACAACTCAGATTGAAAGCTTGGCAGAACAAAGCTGTTTTTGCCACCCTATTGAAAGCAAGAAGGGATGGTGCTGTACAAACCTCTGGGGGTAAGGAATTCTACAACATGGGGCCACATCCAAAAAGGCCTGTCTTCTTCTCTGTGTCCTCCTAACCTCATGAAGAAGTATGCTTGAAGTAGGCCCCTTGAGTTGTTCTTATTGGGTGAGCAGATTCAGTTCAGGCAAGGCAAGGCCTGATACAACTGATGCAAGGATGGTCAAGAAGGTTTCCATAAGAAAGCTGACTTTTCAGTGAAAGGCAGAGCACCAAAATGCACACCCTTAGCTACCTCATAATTAATGTGAATGCAAGAGCTCTCACCTCTATGCAAATTTAATTTTCCCCTTTTTGAATCCCCCCTCCCCCATTAAAAGCAGTATCCCTTCCATCAAGCTAAATGAGGATGTCGCCCCTCCAAAAGTGCAGGAAAATGTTTCTTCTGTCAGCTCCAAGTTTCTCCAAAATTGTAATGTATGTAGGAATGACCTTGGGAGACAGGAGGAAGACCTGCAGCCTAGACAAAGTCTGATAAGAGGCAGCTCAGTCTGCAGGTGGGGAAAAGCATGGGAAGCATTTCAGAAGGGGCCCTCCCTAGTTTTCCGGACACTAAAAAGATAGAAGGGGAGAAATACTTTCAGTCTTGCAAGACTTTGTTAATGCAACCTTACAATAAAGTAGGATTAGTTCATCTGGGTGTGCTTCTTGTCTGGGCTACCTTGCAAGGCTGACAATAATTTTGCACATATTTGCCTTCTTTGTCCCCTCTTCTGATATTTGCACTCAAAGTTCTGAGAACTTTAGCCTTAGTTTTCTAAAAGAAAGATTTTAGAAAGCTGGGTTCACACACTGGGGGGTAAAAAATGCAACTGCAGCCTTAGCTTAACGTTATCTCTGTGTCCACTCAATGAATGAAAATCAACAGAGGTGCCAGCAGACTAGTGTTCTGGGAGATCCAGTCTCTCAGCATCATCACATTCTCAGCTGGGAATCAGGCAGAGGCCTGGGTGTCAATATATTGCTTTGATGAATTGTAAGTGATTGATCTCTGTAAAGTGCCTTCTCCCCCTGATCCACCTGCTGGCTGTGGAGACATAGATAGATTAAGCAATTATGGATTAATTCAGCATCAGATGGCCTTGGACAATTAGTCATGAGCTAAGGAGTGACCAGGTGCTTTCGATAAAAAGGAAGTCATTATAGCAAAGAAAACTTGGCAATCCAAGCTTGTGAATCAAGCAGCGACAGTTCAACATTTTGACAGGGGAGGAAATGAAGATTAGCATAAAACGCCACCAATTACTAACAGCAGGGCACTTTACCACAGGCTCAAGGCATAGAAGGAAATGCAACTACACACTGGAAAAGGGGGCTTCAAAGAGGGTGGCTGAGATGAAACTGAAAGCATGCTGAGAAATGCAAAAATCAGAGCCACTATGCCAATTTTCCAATGGAAAATAGACAGCCCTCCCTATGCTCCTGTTTTAATGTGATCTGCATGGGGAAAGTGGATGTAAGCTCCCCCCTTTTTTTATTTTGAAGGGGGAAAAAATAACCTGCTTATAGTTGCCTGATGAAGCCAAAGTATCTAGCAGACAACTTTTCTCAGAACTGGAAAAAGTGCTTCTGTTTAAGAAATGAGCTCCTGTGTAGTCTGGTCTTAGTCGGGTCTGCTGCAGAGGTAGGAATCACAGAGAACCTGCTGAGAGTTATCATCCTGTAGAAAGTCCTCTCAAAAAATTGCATATACCCATATTCTTTCTTCTGATTATCATTGCTTCTTCCTGTTGTTGTTGTTCAGTCGTTAAGTCGTGTCCGACTCTTCGTGACCCCATGAACCATATTGCGCCAGGCCTTCCTGTCCTTCACTGCTTCCCAGCAGTCCAGGGAACTCTTAAGAGTCTTCTCCAGCACCACAGTTCAAAGGCATCAATTC